CTCTCTCTCTCTCTCTCTCTCTCTCTCTCTCTCTCTCTCTCTCTCTCTCTCTCTCTCTCTCTCTCTCTCTCGCTCGCTCGCTCGCTCGCTCTTGCTCTCGCTCTCGCTCTCCCTCTCTTGCTAGCCCGCCCCTCGCCTGTGCGTAGTATGTACTTTCTCCCTCGACTCTCTGTGGTATTGCTTCTATCCACCACCCTGCCCAAAACTGTAGACTACATAAAAGACAATATGATACAAAGAACGCGAGCTACACCTCGCAAGGTTGGATGTACAAGGAGACTACGAAAATCGTCGTGAGAAAGAATGTGCGAGAGGCAGATGGAGGACAAGGTTAAGCATGTGGAAAATCAGGCACAAGGCAGAAAGGCATCTCACTTCATCACACAGGTGAGGCAATTGCTATTCCAATCAGGCATGCACCATCTGATTCAGATTCAGTCCCTTCCGCTCAAGGCCGTCCTCTGGCACCCCATTCTCTCCTCTCACCCAAGCTAACCCTCCTCCCATCATCACAACTGGGCTCTGCAATCCAATGACGATCTCGTTCGACGGATGATTGCCACAACTCTGGTCCATCCGCACCCGCTTTGTGATCTGCACGCTTGGGGACGCCTTGTTTCCGGGCACATGCACTAGCCCTCCACTCCGTTCTTCCTCCCCGACCCTCTCCGGTTTCTTCTCCTCCTCCCCCCATTCTGCTGCTCGCTCAAACTGGGCCGCTGCTGTGCAAGTAGCCACCCGACTGCCATCCGCTTGGTGATCCCATTCCTCGACAAACGGCCGATCGTTATGCTCATCGGCTTTCCTGCAAAGGTAAATCCCCGACCTGCAAGCGCAAAGTGCACGGCCGATGAGGCAGTGGGTCAGCTCCATCAGCATTTTTATTTTTTTTTGCTCCATCAGCTATAATGGGCGATGAAAAAACAAACGTAAATAACATCAGACTTGATTTCACATCGAAAAACAGTCGCTAATCGAATCACAAGAGGAAAAAGAAAAAAGGAGGTAAGATAAGATCCCATCGACCTCCACATTCAGCGCCTCGCTCCGGAAAACAGAGGAATGCATCTTCCCTGAAAAGTGGAAAGATGCATCAGTTGCTATTCACAGCACCGGATGCATCTTGCCATTAACTGCAAGAAAATGCACTCGTACTTTTTCCTTTTCGACATCCCCCTTGCCGGACCCTGTTCCATGAACAGCTTCATAGGGAAGAAAAGAAGAAACATTCAAAATTAAAAAAAAAAAAAGAAAAAGCCACTAGTACCCACTACCAAATTTTCTCAAACACCTTTCAAGTTTCAACTCTTGGATCTATGCATTCATCAGACTCCTTTCCTTTTTTCTTTTCCTTTTTTTTTTCTTTTCTTTTTTCAGACTTCTTTTCCAGTTCAAAAAGGAAAGTGCATCGTTTCGGCAAGGATCTCCAGTATGATAAGTCTGATCCTATGCTTCTTTGGGACAAACAAAAAGAAAAAAAAAAGAAAAAAAAAAGAAAAAAAACTTCTTTGGGACATCTGTGAAGGCCGGAACGATCCACATAAACAAGCTCCACACGGACCTCTACGCACAACAGACGACACGCGTGAATCCAGAAATGCTCCGAAATTCTCCAACTCGCAAACAACAAAAAAAGAAAGAGAGATCTGCTGTGTACAAGCACCTTCATAATTTTTCCCATCTTCGTGCCGTTCCTGGAGGTAAATAAACCACGAGGAAGAAGTAACCAAGGTGCCGGAAACACTCTGCGCCCCTCCTGTTGGCACGCATATATCCAAAACCGAATATGTCCATCAAAACAGTATCCATTCAGTCGTTATTAAACCTCCAGTACTTCCTAAGGTCGCGCCCGTAGACGAGCCAGCCACGATTTTAGGAAACGTACACACGGGCCACTACAGGAGCGCCCAAATTCATCCGAGTTCTAGAAACGTTTCTACTCTATTTGTTTTCCACAGCCGATAGCTGGGCCAAGAACTGGTGGTTTAAACTTTGAACTGGCAGTTTGCACGAAGCTGAGCACTGCTCTTACCTGTTTAGGTTGTAAGATAGCATTCCAATTCGGGCCGAGGCTGGTAGGGAGAGAGTGGCAACAATCCACCTCGAAAAGGCGCAGTTGCAATCTCGCGAGCCTTGCAAAGTAGCTTCGTCAACCTAGGAGGCCCCTTGCGAGGCTCACGAGCGTGTGCGCCTTTTCGAGGTGGACTGCAAGGCTGCACCTTTTCGAGGTGGACGGCAAGGCTGCGCCCTTTCGAGGTGAACTACAAGGGGCTCTTGCAAGGTTCGCTTCGCCAACCATGGTCCTAAGAGCACCCGGCGCTTCTCCCTTGTCCCTTGGCCATGCAGCTGAAGCCTGAAACAGAAATAAATCCCTACAGTCAACACTGCTGTGCAGCTGCAAGACGGATCACTCGCACTAGTACCGTCTTCCACTGGATAACCGAATAAAACGTACGATAATTAACCGAATAAAACGTACGGTAATTAATACAAATTAATACAAATTATAGCCGTATTTGGCTCACCTTTGAGTCCAGAGGCAGCAAAAATGGTCGTACGATCTATTCCAGGGAAGAAGGCAGCCCGCTCCTCGATCTATACTGCTAGCGGCCGAAGAACCACTGAACTTCCATCAACTTCCATCTCTAACTAACCAAATAGTATGCCTCCGCGGCCTCGTCATTATTGTTGTATCTAGACTGAAAGTTGGCCCAACTATGGCTATAACAACGGGGCAGGCGTTCCGTTCCGGTGAAGACGGCAGTTTCTCCATCTACATGGAGGAGCTAGCCCAGCGCAAAAACCTCAGTTTCTGCCTTCTTTTCTCTACCAAATATAAGAAGACGGCAGCTGCGCCATCTACATGGAGGAGCTCGCCCAACGCAAAAACCTCAGTTTCTGCCTTCTTTTTTCTCTACTAAATATAAGATAAGGAGAAGCTGTCCATCTACATGGAGGAGCTAGCCCAACGCAAAAACCTCAGTTTCTGCCTTCTTTTTTTCTCTACTAAATATAAGATGAGGAGAAGCTGAAGAACCGACGTTTTCCGATACTGTCACGATTTATTTTAATACTTTGCTTCATGTTATCTTGAACAGGCAGGATCACTAGCGCCTCCAGCCACCTTGCATGTCGCCCACCATCGCAGGTGGTGAAAATCTCAATGCTCAGCCAGCTCAACAGTGTACATGGGACTTCAACCCAGGGACTGGTGCTATTCGTCCCCCATTCCCTCCAGCATATCTACTCCTTAGTTGTGTCATTTAAAGGACCAGTACTTGCCAGCCATCGGCCGCGGGCCCCTTTAGGAGGCCGCACGCCACTGAGGTGTTTTATCACCGGCACCCAAACCTCCGAAGGTTTAGGAGAGGCTCAATCGGATTCTCAACGTGGCTCGGGACGTGCACTGGTGTTGAAATGACCAATACGCTTCCCAGCCATTCTTCCAGAGTCCCGGCTTGCATGTTGCCACGACTCTCCGGGAGATGTATAGCCGTACGAGCCGTTTTCTGTCTCAAGTGAACTGGCAGTTAAGGCCACGCTTCCTGGCCTTGGACATGTTAGAGTCGTACAAAACCCAATCGTCTCGGTATTTCTTGCCCTGAAACCCAAGCCAAGTTCGATTCACAGGGAAGTACTTATGCTTGATTCTTTGTCGACCCCACCCCAGGTAGGGTGTCTATGAAAGACCCATGCATGCACAAAGTTGTTGAAATATCCGGAAATCCGTACAATTATCTTTCTCGAACAGATAGATTTGAACTGGTGTATAGCTTACTGACTAATCAATATAACTCACGTCTTCATGTACATACACGTGTAGATGAAATAACTCATGCTGTTTCTTGGGTGTCTAATAAAGCAGATTTAAAATAAAAAAAAAACGAAGGAGAGAACCAATGAAGAAGAGTTCTCAAAAGCATCCTTACCTTATCATTTAGTTGATCCAAGTCCATGGCCCATTTTTTTTATTTATTTTTTTCCAAGTCCATGGCCTATTTTTGGTTCACTGGGAGCTTTGGCAAGTACCATCGGTGGTATTATTTAAACCACCAGTACTTCCTAAAGTCGTGCCCGTTAACGCTACGTGATTTTAGGAAATGTACGGGCCACTACAGGAGCGCCCAAATTCATCCTACTAGAAATGTTTCTACTCTAATTTTTTTTCCCTGGCGGACAGCTGGGCCAACTACTCTGGTTGGTTTAATGCATGGCAAATTCATCCGACTAGAAATGTTTCTACTCTATTTTTTTTCCCTGGCCGACTGCTGGGCCAACTACTCTGGTGGGTTTAATGCACATGGCACTACCACATTTGTTCGGTCGCTAGATCGCTTGTCCAGATTCCTTCCACATGGGCTTGTAAGGTTAGATTCATTCATGATGAAAAAACTGTTTGAGGTCCGGAATAGGGTGTAGATTCATTCATGATGAAAAAACTGTTCGAGGTCCGGAGTAGGGTGTCACATACTGGTGGTTAAAAGTCCCACGAAGTACTCTGCAAGTGGAAGGACGCAGCTGTGTGTGCATCGAATGCGTGTTCTGGACGTACCAGGCTAGTTGCTACAGTCTGGTTGCAGATGCACCGCACGCAGAGGGGGTTTAGGGGCAGGCCGCACTGATTCTATGTGAGTGGTTGGGAAGCAGGAATGTAGTCATGAACATGGCCAGGAACGTTTCATGGCGCATTTATCCAGGCAAAACGGGTCGCTGCAAGGCCCGTTTTGCCTACATGGATGTGCCGCAAAACCGCGCCCCCGTTATCTGTGCCATCCTTGTGCAGGGGCCATGCTGATCTCCTCTCTCTGTATCGTTCCAACTTTAACGGATGTCCCGAAGCACATAACTAGTGGTTTCCTCCGTGACTCTGATGAGCTGTTTCATAAAAGCCGAAGGCACGTGGCTAGGTTATCTTGCAACCAACTACAATACACCGAAACATCTGTCGAACTCTCTGCATCCAACTCTGGCCACACGTCGTTCCCCCTCGTCCCTTCACCCGTCCGATGAATTTCCCAGGGGCTCTAATCAGGCATGCTACAGCCATCAGTACTTCCGAGGCTCTTTCCTCTGATGATGCAAGCGCCCTGAACACCAACTTTGTCGAACCACCAGTGCAACTTTTTTTCTTTTTTCGTTTGCTTCGCACCGCTAGCCATATTGTGGTCTGGAAGGCCTCAAGCCCGCTTAAGACAGCGTGCATACAACAAGGACCCGTGGGCGATGTATGGGCAAAGTACTGCCAGTTTAAACCACCAGTACTTGGCCCAGCTATCGGCCGAGGAAAAAAACGAGTAGAAACTTTGTCGGACAAATTTTAGCGCTGCTGTAGTAGCCCATACGTTTCCAAAAATTGTGGCGCGTTAACGGGCACGACTCAAGGAAGTACTGGTGGTTTAACCTGGCACATTGCTCTCTACCTCAGTCGGTACTCTGCCATGAAACAGCCAAAATACAGACCCGTGTTCGAATTCCAGTTGCAGTCAGATTAACAAAAATGTTAAAATAACATAGTTGTGAATTACCCAGGACTGCTCCGTTCAATAACCTCAATTACACAACCGCAAGGCTATCGCCTTTCAATGAATCACCAGTACATGGCCCCAGGCAACTGGAGACCCTGTTTTGAGCCTCTCCTAAAATTTAGGAGGCCAAGCGCCATAGATAAATGAGTCGGCGGCGGGCAGCCTCCGAAAGGGGCCCCCAGCTGATAGCTGGCATTTACTGGTGACTTGAAAAAAAAAAAAAAAAAAAAAAAAAAAA